CTAATATATAGCTCCAAAGCAACACATATCACATTTTTAATGCTAAAGCAATTTCAATATGCTAGCTAATTCATCACCAATACTATTTATCAACCCAATCCTGAATCTTCAACAAGATTCTACCACCCGAGAAATCTACCTATACTGTCAAAACTAGTAATTCCCAAATGAACCAATTAAGAAGATATTCAGCAACACTAGAACCCCAAATTCAAAAGCCCCAACTCCAAAATTACAACCCTAACCAGCACTGTAACCATGTGTTCATATCCAATTTCTCATGTAAGAGAAAAACCCACCATACTTCACACTAAAAAGTACAACAAGCCCACTAATTGTTACCATTAACATACCATTCAAAGCAATATACATCCAAATTCAAATTCAAATTCAAATTCATGCCCAATTTACATCGAAAAAATAAAAAATCAGCAAAATTCTAACAAAATGCCCAAAAACAAAAAATTACAACAAACCCACTAATTTCTACCATTAACATGAAAATTAAAGCATAGAAAATCCAACAAAAATAAAAAATTGAAACATAAAATCAAATATGAAGAGCTAAAACCTAACAAAACGCTTTAAAAAAAATGCAGAATTCTTACATTGTTGCCTTTCCAAAGTTGATAAACGCGCTTCTCCATAAGAAAAATCAGAAATTATCAAAGAAACCCCTCTTTCTCTTTCTCTTTCTCTTTCTCTTCTTCTCTCTGCTACAGCTTGAAAGTTGAAATTACACCCATATCAAAACAAAATCAACACAATTTTCCCTCTCTTTCCCAGAACAATAGGAGAGAGAAAGAGAGGAAAAATGGTGATCGGAGAGAGAAAATGGCGGCGTCGAGAAATTGAAAAAGGTGGGTGTTGTTGTTGGTTGTTGTAATGGAGGGTAATGGTGGTAATTTTGCAAATGAATACAGAAACACACCAAAACAAACAAACCCCAAGAAATTTACACTATATTTTTGTATTCTACCAATGCTTACTTTTCGTCATTAATTCATCAATTTTTGTATTTTTTTACCTTTTATTTTTGTTTTTTTTTAATAGAAGAAGCATCGGTTTCTTAATTCTTATACGGTTTGCCTCATAATCTCTTTGTTGTTTTTGGGTGTGAGGTGTGGCTCATCTCATATTCACATTAGGGGTTTTAAGGTCTGACCGATGTCTCGAGTTATTGTATGAACGTCATATTTTTCTCATTGATTTGTACAAGAATTATAGATGAAAGAGAGTCGTCGAATACATGGTAATTGATGGATTGTAATTATGAAAGAAAGTGAGATTTATAGTTTTAAAGTTAATAGCCGATTAATTACAATCTGTAATAATTGGCAATAATCACACGTGATATCAATTTACATACTGTGACGAGATAAATTGGCTTTCACCAAAATTCCACATAAGCTAACTTTCACATAAAGATTAGTGGAATGTCAATACTAATTTTAAAAAGTTTTGCATCGACCTGGCAAATTAGTTTCGGATTGGTACTAATTTTTAGCTTTTTGAGATTTCATTGATGGGGTAGTGTTATAAATGTTATCTCTAAATTTAGCTTATTTATAAATCATGATTATTATAACGTAATAAAGATGATTGTAATTATCTAATTTGCTCATAAATTGGCAATTATGACTTGATTGATGTATGGCAATTTCTACTAATGTTATTGAATTTTTTTTTATCCTAAATTGCAGGTATATTTTACATTATGTGGAGCTAAATATATGAGACAATTTTTATTTAATTTATTACTCCGTATTAAATTTTGTTTGATTTATGTCATTTTTCATACAAAAAAAATGTCAAATAAGCCAATTTTTAGTTTTGATAATATTGATATGTTTATTGAATGTATTTTACTTGGGTTTGTGTCACTTTAATATTTCCATATAAATTTTCTATATAATATGGCAACAATTTTAATTATATTAATCTTGTATAATTCTTTAACTAATTTATGTATCAAAGAGAGTAGGGCATAACTGTATTTTCGATCACATAAACATCACACCTAAGGATGTCAATGGGGCGGGGTGGATGTTGGCCTTCCCATCCCCATCCCCACCTAATATTTTCATCCCCATCCCCGCGGCGGGTCCAATTTTCATCCTCATCCCCGCCGCACCGGGTACAACTCCAATACCATCCCCGCCCCACCCCCCACTTGGATATCCATCCCCACCTAATCCCCACCAAAGACCCGCCTAATCCCCACCCAAGATCTACCTAATATCTGTATCTCAAATACACAATCTTACATAGGTAATACAAATTATAAAATAAAACATTCTATAAACATTTTTGTGTTATAATATAACTGTCGTACAGAGTTATAATTAATATTGTATTTCATGTAATTATTTTATAAATAGAATAAAAGTATGTAACTTTGCTTTAAAAGATATATAGATGTGAGTATGAGGTGGGGATGGGGCGGGTACGAAGTGGGGCGGGTGGGGCGGGGCGGGTATAACTTAAAATCCACCCCCACCCCCATCACCCATAGCGGGTATGGTTTTTATCCCCATCCCCGCCCCACCACCCGCCAAACCGAGACCCATCTCCGCCCCATTGGAGCGAGAATGGGGCGGGTCTCCTACTTGACCCGCCCCACTGACATCCCTAATCACATCCCTAACTTTACTCACTGCTAGCAAGTCACCCCCTTATTCTTGTCAGTTGCATTCCACCTACCCACCCTTCCCCTCGGCTTGAGAAAGAAACTGGCCAATAAAATTCTTGTCATAATGGCAATTACAAGTGTACGTGCATTCATTGATTTAGAATCCATTACTTTCAAATAGGGTCCATAAACTAAACTTTGACAACTTAACAAAAATTCATCAAGAAACTGACATCGCCATTCAGGACGACGACAACAACAACAATACAACTACAACTTGCAATTGCATAATAGACCCCTTTTTTAACTGGAAGCTACAACACTCCACAAGTGCCACTAAGAGGCTATCAACAAAGGTATCTCTAAGAGGCTAGTTGTTTTCATCTTAATTACTATATAATCCCTCCGTTTTTAAATACTTGCTCCATTTTTTCATGCGCTGAGTTTTAGGATAAATTGGAGAAAGTAATAAAATATGAAGGTAGTGGGGTTGTTGGAAGAATATATAATTGTAAAAAATCAAAAGTAGAGGGGAGAATTGAAGGAAAGGGAATATGAAATTAATATTGTTAGGTTCACTTGGTAGGGAAAATTAATTAAATGTTATAAAAGCTTTTCAAATAAGGAAATGTAGCAAGTATTTCAAAACGGCCGGAAAAAGAAAGTGGAGTAAGTATTTTAAAACGCATTTCTTTTTAGCAAGTTTTTTTCAACCAAATTAGCTTAGTTGGATATTCTTGCTCCAATGATCAAGCCAGTAACTAGGAACTATTTAAAACTAGATGAAGCCCGTGCGATGCACGGTTTGTTTGAAATTTTAATTATTTTTTTTTATTTATGTGCTACTTTGTTATATATTTAGATAAAATTCATATTGTCAAAAGATAATATTTTATATTTAATTAATTTAAGCTTAAAAATCTCATTCGCCAATTTTGCTTACATGACATTTGAATTATTTAATTTTAAAAGAAATTAATAATCTCTTATTTTATTGGGTACAACTGAAATTATAATCCTACATGGCGCGTTAAGAAAATTAAATCCTACATGGCTCTCTAATAACTCGGGAAAAAACTCCCCTTTAAATATATATATTACGGAGTAGATTGCAAGCAAGTCACTAGTTATAACCATTGGACTAGTTCTTAAAGAGAAAACTTGTAACTCATTTTCACAATTTTAAGGATTGGTTTCGCATGTAGTAATCAAATGGAACTCTGTACATTTTTATTTGAGTACTGAAATAGATATATTCATTTTAGTCTGAAGTAATATGGCCCACATAAGTACAATGGGCTCATGGCCGAAGAGGTCAAATACTTGGCCCAATATGGTCATTCTCTTGCCACAAAAAGAGGACTAATGCCCACTATTTCTCCTTTACATACCCCAAATCATACATTGTTTGAGCATTAACTTGGACATCAAAATCTCCATAGGATTTTCGTTTAATTCGACAACTTCGCCGTTGTTAATGTCGGTGTGGGTTCACAGGAGGAAGATGAAGATGGTGGTCGCTAGTTGGCTCATGGGAAGATGAAGGTGGTAGTGGGATTTAGGGGTGTCCATAATTCGGATAAAAACCGAAATCCAAACCGAATTATCAATTCGGATCGGATCCAAACTTTAAATCGGATCGGATCGGATTGAGATTTTTTGGAAATTAAGATTTTCGGATTGGATCAGATTGACCCTAGTTGGATCCAATCCAAACCGAAAACCGAATTGTAAAATTAAGCTTGTATAAATATGGATTTCTGTATATTTTGAAGTTTAACTCAAATACTTAATACTACATAAAATAAATTAGAGAGACTTTGTATTAATTAATTAATGACTTGACGTTGAACTATGTATTTTAATCATGATTTTAAAGACTTTTATTTATAGTAAGCTTTATTTTTATAATTGTATTAGGCGCTTAAAAAAATAATGTATTATAATTCGGATTTTCGGATCGGATCCAAATAACCGAATTTTAATTCGGATTGGATCAAGAGAGAAATTCGAATCGGATCGGATTGGAAAATTGAAAACCGAATTATATTTCGGATTGGATCGGATTTGGACTAAATCCAAACCGAAAACCGAACGGACACCCCTAGTCGAATTGCAGGTAAAAGATGAAGGTTGTGGTCAATTTCTGGTTATGGATCGAAGGAGAAATGAGATGTAGGAAGAAGATAGCAGTGGTTTTGATGGTGTTCGCAGGAGGAAGAAGGAGATCAAGGAAGAAGAAAGGGGATAGATTTACAAATTTGCCCTTCACTTTATTGCAAAAATGACAATTTTAACCCTATCAAGCAGATCAACTGGGTCTGCCTACTATCAAAGGCACTACAAGAAACAACCAAGTCACAGCAGATGAATAACAATTGTTCCCGTATCAACATTAAGATAAAAGAGTTACTCTGTAAAGAACATATGCAGTCGTACTTTCCTGAAAAAAAATACTTCTGCTTAAATTTTTTATGGCCAAGATTGGCAGATGATATTGTACAACAATAAATACAATACAACTATGACAAAGGAAAAGCGCCTATATGTTTTAAACTCTAAAAAATGAGACGGGGAAAAATTACACAAATATGAAGCTGAAAGAACGCTACAAAATGCTATAATCCGAAATTGCATATTTTACAGCTCTACCTATCTCAGACATCTTTAGCTCAAATTCTAGTAATTTTACTACCGGCCACGACTAGATGGTGGCCTACGACTTGATCCTCTTTCGAATGCAGAGTAACGGTTTCCTCCTTGTTGGGAACTATTACCATATCCTCTACCACCCCCTCTACCAGAATTGTGAGACTGGGGGCGCCCACCCCACTGATTATAGCCACCAACACCGTAGCTTTGCCCACTCTGGTGATGGTAGGCTCCAGGTACAACAGGAGCTGCAGGCCCAGCAGGAGAGTACTGAGACCCATTTTGATGAGGTCCAGGGGGATAATATCCCTGAACGGGAGCTGAAAGATTAACTCTTGCACCATGGTGGGGGCGGGAAGCAGGTGAACTGTATGGCCGACTGTGATGGATTTGTGCAACACCAGGAGGTCGCTGATGTCCAGGGCCCGGATAGGCTGCTCTAAGAGGTGGTATTATCCCACTGTGTTCCTGACCATAGTAACTGTTAACTGGATGTGGGTTGACAGGTCCATATGCAGCAGAGGCAGTTGCATAAGCTGGAGCTCTGGCATATCCACTCTGATCTGCCCTCACTGATAAACTATTAATCACCAGACGATGAGCTGCCTCACCGAGCTGACGACCAGATATGCTCCCAGGGGGGTTTGACCTGCCCAGAACAGACAGATATATGAAGGCCTAATCTAAACATTATGGATCCAAATTTTCCACCTTCTGACTAAATTATTAAGTGGGAGATTAAAAAGTATACCTTTGACTGTCCGTATGCCGCCCTACATTTTCCATATGCCTTCTTCCATTATCCATATGCCTTCTACCATTATCCATATGCCTTCTTCCATTATCCATATGCCTTCTTCCATTATCCTCATGCCATAAGACAGGTTCTTTCAAATCTCCCATTGAGACAATCTGCCATAAAATTTATATGAGCCACAGAAAGATGGACATTTAGCAGTCAAAAAAAAGGCAGAGGGAAGCTGTTAGCCAGCGTGCAAACAAGAGATTGCAAGTCACACATGTGGGGATTTAATGAAACACAGATCATTGTACCTGAGTGCAGAAAAAAGGAACCCATGGCTTGTCAAAAACATGGAAATATCATTATCCACCCCAGACCCCGAAGTAAAATCTAGGGAAGATATAACCATACAATCAACAACACTAACTAAAAAGGAATAGATGCAGACTACCAGCAACAAGAACAGTGAATGGTAAATTTAGCAACCTATACAAAATCAATACCTATAGAAAAGCAGAAAATTGAAAGAACCATAACAGGATTCATGATTACAATGTACACAGTCAAGATGTAAAATTAAAGACTGGCAAGCACCTGAGGAAGGTCCAAGCGGGACTCTAAACACAACCCACTTTTAATACAATACAAATTTCAAGTTGCTCATCAGAAGTCAAAACCAAGAGAAGCCAGGTTGATCCGGATAATAGTAATTTTGTTGAAGCTAGAGATTCACTCCCCTTCACACTGACCTGAACTTGGGTAAATGCTCACTCTTCAAGTTTAAATGAAGGCATAATCTTTCACTAACACTAAATATTGCCACAATTGTTTCATACCCAACTTGTAAATCAAAGATACACTGAGGAGATGGAGTTTTTAAGCCTCCACAATGTCTCAGACATAGAAATGCTAAAAGCATGTAAAAAACGTAATTCAAAGGGCAAGCAGGCTGATGTAACATTATGGTTGCTTGGAATATCTGAAGTTACTAATGTGGACAGAACTGTTCTTCACAAGAACTTTTCAGGGCCCAAAGAAAGCCCAATGAAAAGAAGGGGAACCATTCACTCAGGTGCAGAGCATAACACTGCGAATTTACTAATGATATTTAACAGTTCAAAAAGAAATCACTAATTTAAAAGAAACATATACTATATTGAAGTAAATGTACTGGCAGCAGCAATTTAGATTCAATATATGAGAACTTATTACCTTCGTTGGAAATTTCACCCCTGGTGGTGGCCGTGCTATGTGTTTGTGATACTCTGGGAGTTTGTATATTGCACAACTACAGAGAAACCATAATATTAGAATGTCAAAGATACAGCATGGTCATAAATAACCACAGGTTCACACTACAAAAGTGGAGGTTATATCTTACATGACTTGATTGTCTACAATGTCTTCCATTCCAGAAACCGGGGATCTGAAAATAGGAGGGCAAGGGTCTCCAGCACAAAGGCAAACGTAACCATTCATCCCCCCACTGCAAGTAGCCCTAAACCACATCAGAAAATGTACGAATTGATCTCAAAACTCACTGATGGCACAAACAGACATGATTTAAATTGAAGTAGAAAGCAGGAAAAAGGTTTCCAATGTGGAAAATGCCTAAGTAGATTACTTGATCTAGAGCAAATCACAGCAACCATGAATCTCCATTCCCCAAAAGACTAAAGCCTTCCCTAGACTATATTAACCTGCTGAATGTGGATCATAAAAGACATGGATTGATGCAAAGATGCATCACTGCATCCCCACTCAAGAGAGAACATAACAAGCCCAAGAAAAGAAGCACCCTCACCCCAATAACAGGGGAAACTGTTGGCGGAAAACTTTTCCACATCATCTAGGTCGTATACCCAGACGCTGTACCCTAAATTTATTCCGAGATTTACTAATATGTTTCAAGACTGAAACCATTATCTGACTCAGACATGTGACAAGTACGACAGAAATTTAGCAAGGTAGGTGGAGGAACCGAGTAATGCAGCCTCAAAGACTTGGTTAACATAAGCTACTATGCACATCACACATCAAAAAAACTTGTTGGAAAAATCTAGCAAGGTAGGTGGAGGAACCGAGTAATGCAGCCTCAAAGACTTGGTTAACATAAGCTACTATGCACATCACACATCAAAAAAACTTGTTGGAAAAATCTTTTGAGAAGACCAAGTTGTTTGTCATTCTTCTTCCGTACAATAATTCCTATAAAGTGATTGTGCACCATGTATATGCTCAACCCCAAATGGATAAGACAACATGATATACAAAACATAGATGAGACCAGAATCATCATTATCACTAGTCCACTCAAAAAACTTTACTAGAGAATAATACATAAAAGCATATAGGAATTTAGACACAAACACAAGCACAAGGACACAAATACCTAATTAATATTCAAATAGCATCAACAGCCCCAGAAATACCTGGCCTTAGGGTCGATTTTTTCTTTGACTAGTACTCTTTCTCCCTCTTTCATTTGCTTACAGCGATCATCAAGTGAAAATATATAAGGGGACAATGGATGCGACACAGAAACAAACAGCATGTCCGACAAGATACTGTTCCTTCTCTTTTCTTCTGCCTACAGAAACACAGTAGATTATCAGGATTAGTACCTAGACCAGAACAACTAACATTGTCACGAGACCAGACATCACATTAGGTCATCAGTCACTCCGAAACACATACCGTTAAAGTATGTTCAACTTTTGCAATTTCGGTAAGAAGGCGGGATTGATCAATAAAAGGCAATTTAGCAATGCCCTGTAACATTCCCAAGCAAAAATTGTCAAATTTCAAGGCAATATTACATAGGAAGCCCAAAAAAATATGGCCAAGGCAAGAATAGAGACCTGCCAAGCAAAACGCTTCCCATTCATGTCCACTTCAAAATCTGAAAGAGGAACATATATGCGCGTAGTTAAACATAATCTAGTAGGCAGATTTACATTTGATGAAACACAGCTGTTAATCAACAACCATACTTATTTTCCCTTCATTTAAATTTCTAATTACCATTCATCTGCATCATCTAAAAGTAAAGAAATTATTTATTCAATTAAAAAGACCATGAATTTTCATCTCTAACCCAAAACCCTACAAAGGAAAGAAAGCATCCATCATGTTCCTTATCAACAAGTTCAGAGTCTAGACAACTAAAGAAAATAAAAACACAAACATATATATCTCCTGCAATACATAATATTAATGCCCCTTCAAATCTAACCCGCAACTTAGACAGGTTAGACCCCTTCCCCCCTTCCTTGTTACAAGGCTCAACAAAGCTGACCACCCACACACTCCGTGGAGGAAATAGAGCAAATTCAAATAGAACCTGTAGTATGCAGCACAACAATGATATATAATGTCGGCAAGCTATGAATACCCTTTACATTCATGAGATAAGTAACACCAAAAAAAAAAACAAAAAAAAAAAAAAAAAAAAAAAAAAAACCACAGCAACCTTTACTCTGTATTATTTAAATTGAACCTAATCTGTATTATTTAAATTGAACCTAATTAATTTTCATCAGTTGTCCTTAAATATTGAAACCATTCTTCATAAGATACATACCTGTTGGGTAGAAATCAATAATTGGGGAGTTAGGATCGCTCATCAACTTCCTATAAGTCTCAGGAAGTGCATGGGAACTGAAAGAAATCATCATTAGTACACTATACTCAGCAACTAGAAAAGAGAGAAACAGTAACAAAAACAACCTTGCAGCAGGGAAGACTCCCATAAGCTGATCAAATGGCTTGAAGGGAGAACCAAGCTCAAAACTGATATCTAGGTGTGCAACATCCTTAATATCAGAAGCAAAGGGAGCATAATGATATGGATAGAACCTGTAAAGTAAACATGAGATTAAAAAAAATAAAATTTAAAAAAATACATTAAACATGGGAAGAAAACAAACCAGGTGCTACAATTATATCTTCAAATTAATGCTTCAAAAATACACACCCCAATGTAGAAAATCCGCCAAAAATGCAGTCATGTAAACAAAATAGGCAATCATTGAAAAATATCTATGTGCTCCGGCCCTCCCAAAGAATCATATCATTGCCTCATTGTGCAAGTTAGTCATAGGGTAAGTTAATTTAAAATGAGCCATTTAACCTCATAATTCATTCGAAATGGCGTGGGACAAGATAAGGAGACAATAAGTTGAAACAAATTTGTCAATTACAAAATCATTGATGATTCAACTTCAAAATTCTGAGTGCATGCCAAGTAGGCAGTTCATATAAAAACACCATTCACTCAAATGTGACAAGAAATAAAAACACATTTCTAATGAATTGTGTTCTGTAAATTGATGATTGACATAGGAGGCAACAAGACGTTTAGGCAAAAAATCAAAAGACCTGAAATAGGTTCAAACTAACTCACCACTCCCATGAGCAGACTCCTTCATAATAATAATGCATGACCCAGCACAAGCCTTCTGTGTACTTCAAGACCTGAAACCAAAATATTAATCTAATAGTCCGGATAAACTGAAACAGTAAACAAAACACACTAGTAGAGAAAGACTTCTACATAACACCATATAAAAATTATCTGGTCACAGCCCATGTAAAGAACTAAAGAAGGCATCTTGATAAATATTCTCATCACCTTCACAAGTATATTATCTTTTTTAATCCATATAAAACCCTAGTGTATACTCAATTTACAAAAGAGTGTCAATGTTCCAACTTTGGCCATTAGGAACAAAACAGCATTATACACTCTTATCAATCAATCAAAGCCTTAATACCATACATTATACGTGTATATATTAAAAGTAACTGAGCAACAACTTCATGACATCCATAAAGAGCATCAACCTTCAATCCCACCCACTGACAGAACTAATTTTTATTCAACATTGTTTCGATTTCAATCTCCTGATACATAAACTAGGTGCTCATGTGCTTCAACAATGAGCCCATTAGTAATGATCAAGGTCCCAAATATTGCTCTAGTCTAGCTAGTTTACTTGTCACCGTAAGAAAGGTACGTCACAGATTCAGCTATTCCTACCAGCATAGAATCAAACAGTGACAACAACAAGACTCTGCAGCATAAAAAATGAGGGAAAGTAATTCAAGAGCCACAACTTATCCCATTATGATACAAAAGCCAAGGTGCCCAAGGATAGTCCACTATATAACATAGCATCCTCAAAAATCTTTCAAAGAACTAGAAATTTTGCAATACATGAAAAGTAAGAACAAATTCGGGTTTCAACTTTATTGCTAAAAGGCAAGTCTTAGCTTAAGGCAATTAACAAGCAAATATTGAGAATAATAAATGCAAGTAATCATTTATTCTACATCATCAACACCCAACAAAACCCCATTAGACAGCTCAAAAGAAGCTAATCCGAGTGTAAAAAACAAACAGTCATGACACCAAATGAAAATACAGATCATTATGCAAGAAATATGAGCTAGGAGGGCCCAAAACATAGGAAACAAACATATTCAAGAAAGCATCACCAAAGAACATATGTAACAATAAATCTCAAAAGAGCAAGCAGAGTATGCAACTTTTTTTTTTTTTTTTTTTTTTTTTGAAGAAAGCAGAGTATGCAACTTACAACATCCTTACGAATGCTTTCCATTTCCTCTAAAGATTTTGCACAGAACTTTTCTTCATAGTACCTTTCCTTCCATCCAGGCTCTCCTAATTTGATCTGATTCAAAATGAAACGGTGTAAAATAAGCCTCCAAAAGTGATACAAAAAATTCTTAAAACTTGATAATAACATTAGCAACTAGGAATGAGAACTCTGGAAATTGGTAGTTAGACTTAGAAAAAATTTAACATCAGTAATTATGTCTAACAGATACAAATAATATAAACCACAAATAGAAAGAATTTGACTGCCAAATGTAGCAACTAGCATAACATCAAGAGTATGAGATATCTATGGTACAATGAAGAAGAGAAGTATAAGAGAAAGAAAAATTAACTTAACTAAATTTATTGTTTAAAGGTACCAACCCCATTCCTTCTCATATCACCCGAAACAATTAAGATGACTACCTTGCGTACATCATAGCAAAATTTGCATACATCATATATATAACCCCAACTGGAAACTATAATGAATAAGGACATGAAGTACCAAGTTCCCACTACTATTTGCAAAGTACGTGTCCTTCCAAAATTCATATTAACATTAAGTAGAGCCGTTTCCAATCAACCACTTGTATATTCAGTAACCACTAGAAACTGCTATAAGTTAAAGAATAAAGCTAAATTAGTTGAGGTACATCAAATTATATAAAACTATCGTAACTTACAATATCAATCAGCAAACATTCACCTACTGCCATGGTACTGACTCCCTCAAGCCACTATAGTCCGTATGCACCAGAAGGTCCAAAATGAAAGGTGGAAATTCTAAAGAGTTAAAAGTTATGTGGCACATAAGCTATGCCTATTAATCCCCAAATTTAAGGTACGGAAATGATAGGGAATACAAGAACTAAAATAATACTGAGATTCTATAACTTGCATATTCCAGCTGACTATATTAATGGACTTTACACAATAATACTACTCGTACTTCAAATATACCAGTTACATAAAGCATCACAAGTAAACAATCCAACTTATATATTATTTCATTAATACCAGAACGAAAATGCTACGATTAAAATATCAATCAGACAGAAATAAAGGATGGAATCAAAATAAACCTTATCTTCCTCCCGGACATCTGAGTTAAAACAATCGGACTTCTCACGAATGGACTCTTTAAGCTTTGCTTTCAAATCTTCTTTATTTTCATGAGCCTTAAGAACAAAGAAAAAACAATTATTTCAGAGTAATATGAAGACAGTAACTTCTTCAAAAGTACAAGAGAAATTGTGTAAGTGGCTCAAAAGTAAAAAAACATACTTCCATTTCAAGACTATTTTCAGCCTGAACAATAGCAGCGCCAATTGTTGCTCCAGAAGTACGTGCCATTTTCTGAGGCTTACTTTCTGAACTCCCGCCTAGTCCCTTTTGAAAGGGGGAAGGTGATGGAGCTGAAGCAAGGCGAGAACCGTGAAATCGTGACACGGGGACTAAGGACTCAGGCACAACTTGTGGTTGCATATCATCTCCTCTTTTGGCATTAGCTTTGTCTCTTTTTATCCTCTCTGCTTGACGCTGAACAATCAAGAAAAGCATATTGAGTACTTATAAACTGCTCATTACATATTTCCACCTCCTCTAAAACTTACTATTAAAACCGCACAACCTTTAATCCAACAAGCATTATTAATTACAACCAATATCAAAGTGCTTGGGAATTAAGGCAACATCTGTGGTACAGATTGTTGGAACAAATATAACACCTATTTCCAATCTCCAAACATGAAGGGAAACACGGCAGCCTAATAATATCAGCATCTACAATAAATTGATAGCTCGTTCAACCACAACAACCCACTATTCTGCATATAGGAAATAACTAACCTGGTGCAACCGAGCCCTCTTCTGAAAGATCTGATCTTCATATGATCCAATAGCTTGAATGAATTGCTCAACTTTACTTAAGTCAGGCTGCACATACACAGAGTAAACTTTATCCTACCAGCTATCCATGCAAGAAGCTTAAAAAAAAAGGACTACCGCCACTATTAACGGGCCTACATATAAAAGCACCCAATCATCTTAATACCTTGCTTCCATTGGTCAGATACCCGCCAATTGCACTAAATTCCTTCTTATACACAGCCACCAGCAAGTTTATTGCACCCTGATAAACAGCGAGATAAATGATGAATAAGAGACAGTAAATAAGGTCTGCGCTTACATTTTTGCATCAGTGAAACCACCAACTTCCTCTCATACCAATAAACAAACAAAGGAAAAACAGTCTACTTAAAATGCATATACAAAACTGTCTCAAATGGACCTGATTTAGGGTCATTTTGCACAAGATTCTTTTATTTCTAAATTTGGTGTTTTAATACTAGAGTGTTTAACTTCTAAAAATGCTAACTCCAGCGCCTAAAAGGGCAACATGAGCATGATTACAAGATAACAGTCAGCTAAAAAAATGATAACTTATGCACGGGTGCACAATAATCTTATTGTAGCCCCACGCCTGATCCAAGTAAGACCAAATGAGATGGATTTAACACACTCTCTTCACCACCACACTCTATAGCAATATCGACCAAACTATAGCTGCCAAGAACATAAATTAGATACAACTCTTACAAGGCTAATCATATTGGCAGGTTTAGAATATATATGCTATTGACTAATACAAATTCTTCATGAGAACATAGCAACAGAAGGGCAAAAAAATATACGAACCTCACGGATTTCCAGGGTGGGCATGTGAGGTAAAAAGTCATTGCCAACAAAAAAGCAGATGAAGATGAAGTCATCTACAATGCGCTCAAAATCAATCTTACAAGGAGGATTGGGAATCCTCATCTCATGCTCCAGATACTCCCTGAGAGTCCACACATTCAGGAACTGCAACAAAAGGCTCAAAGTTATGGAAGAAAAGTATCAAAATATGAAAACACACGAAAATTATTTGTTTTCCTACTTCCGTGATGAAAAACAGTTCTAATATAATATAAAATTAATGGCAAACCTGAAAAGGTTTTTTGGAAACAGCATCATCACCACCTTTCTCATCAAATTCACCAGCCTTCCTCTTTGCCTTGCCTTCGCAATTTGCTGCTAAATGGCCAACCTGACCACATAGGAAGCACTTATCTTGCTGCCCGGCAACAAATACAACCTGCATTAACAATCAAAATAATTCATTTTAAAATTACCACAAAATCAATGAAAAATCAACAAAAACTACTACAGAAGGAAAAGAGAAGCAAAAGAACAGCATACCTCTCTTAAAATCGAAAAATGAACTTCATGGGTCGCCAGTGCCAACATGATCAAATCTGCATCCTGTCAAAAATATTTATCATTATAAAAAGAGCACATGAAAGGTTTATTTTGGGTGTAACTGCAGAAAATGAAGTGATAATACCAATCCATATAGACAATGGCGTGTATTTGGATCATAACCAGGAAGATTCCTTTGAAGGCGTATGTATGACATAATTTTGTGCTCCCCTTCCCCAGGAACATTTGCATCAGATAATATAACCTTCAATATTCGACCATGGAGAATTAGAACCCTGCACACCCATCAAATGCTCCAAAACAACCAAATGCCTGAATTTAATGCAAAAGCCTTAAACTTTAAAGCAATACCTTGACAGATTTCCACCCTGGATCATTATTTATTCTCAGGTGAACATAATATTGTAATGCAATAGACAATACAGCCATAAACTCTGTTCCAGGAGTAATAATATTTGTATCGAAGGTTTGTGACTCCTCTTTTGGAGGAAGCTTTCTTCCCTCTTGTTCGAATTCTTGCCGTAAACGTTCTTCTTCAGCAGCCTAAATGAAACCAAAAAAATACAAGTTGATGATTCATGAAGAACGAAGATCTAGAAGTATCAATTATAATGAATCACATACAGCTTCGGCTGCATCTTTAGCAGCCCTGAAACGCCTTGAACGCTGCTGATTCATCTTGGCTCTAGGAGCAACACCATCTGAAAGCAGTTATTGTGGTATTAGTATAATTCTAATGCAGATATCCCATGCACAAGGGTTTGAAATAATTGGTAAAAGATCAATAAACCCACCAATCGCCATGTATAGCAGCTTTCTAGGACGAACCATGTTAAAAAGCCTATCAATGTAGTTGAACATATTTTGAAACACCTCCTCAAATGTTGCTGGAGAAGGCTGAATAAAAATGAAGAAAAAGGATCAGACATACTGAAAATGCACAAAAATTATTAGATTTTTCAATGTAATATAGAAATCTCAAGCCTAATTGATCAAAACATTGATGTCCCCAAATAGACGGAAGACCCACTCAGCGAATATATAAAGGACATAAGAAAGGATGATGGCCAGACACGAAAAATATAATATTCAACCTGAAAATTAAAAATTCCTCTCACAAAGAGGTTTATAAATGGCGAAAAAAGGCTAGCAACAAGAAAACAGGAAAATAAGGAAACTTCTGGCCTTTTCCTGAGACTTAATTAGATTCATTGTGCCCAAATAGGCGGAAGACCCACTCAGCGAATATCTAAAGGACATAAGAAGGTATGATGGCCAGACACGAAAAATATAACATTCAACCTGAAAATTAAAAATTCCACTCACAAAGAGGTTTGTAAATGGCGAAAAAAGGCTAGCAACAAGAACACAGGAAAATAAGGAAACTTCTGGCCTTTTCCTGATACTTAATTAGATTCATTGTGCAGTGTTTTAACTTTAAAATCCAGCAAATTTTGCTTTACCTCTTTTACATCATAAGCAAGCTTCTACTTCTAATAATTATCTAATAATTAAATATAATGAGAAAACAAACCTACGAGTCTATAACCTACAAGTCTATGATGACTTTATGATACAGTCATACCAAACCATTTGAAAAAATGGCACCTCCTCCCACTTGATCAAAAATATATCAAGAAGAAAGAGGCAAAATACAAATACCAAAAGTACAAGAAAATTCCATTTTTTCTATTACATACAAGCTAATCCTCCACTTAAATTTGGTGGTTTACTAATGACAAAGTAGCAATGGCTTTGAATTGATGATTGTGAATAAAATCCTCAAACCTCAAGGCATCAGTATTTAAGTTCAAGAGATTGACAATTGCAAACTGCTTATAATCAATCCTCCACTTCTGGTGATTTACTGATCGACTATTGCAACCTGCTAATTAAGCATGCCTTAATGATCATCTCAAAAATCATTTAAGTTCCAGAGACTTAGCCAATAAGCCACCACACAATATGATGGCCTATGTTGCACGGGGACGCCTTATGGCGGATGTCCCCCATTCCCCAAGACGTCACGGGTACGGATACGCCTTGGGGACGGGTTGACTTTTTGGGGACATTTCTGGGGACGCGAGTGAGGCTGAACGTCGTCCCCAAGTGAAATTTTGGGCATTTTAAATACTTGTTTTGAGTTTGTCAACCCATAAATTCACAGTTTCACACTACAAAACTCTCGGCAGTGGAGTTTGGCAGAGGCGGCCTTCAAAAATCCCCCTCTCTTTTTCCCCAATTTTGAAACCCTAATTTCCCAATTCAATCACTACCCTTGCTACACTCTTCATAATGCATAATTAGATTCTGTTATTAAAATTGTGGGATATAAATTGTAAAACTTGAGAGTAATAATGGCAAAATAAGGGCAACAATGATGGAGCTTTCGAGGTGGGCAATGCAACGGAAGAAGTATTGGTGGACACTTTTATTTTGTTTTAATGCTTTTGATTTCATGATTTTTTTATTTTTACTTTTATGTTTCTGATTTCATGATTTGTTCTTATTTTAAATGTTGTGTACTTGTGTTATATTAAACTAAATTGTTTGTATTATCAATTTATTTTGTTGCATTAAAAATTTTACAATGCTCCATTTTTTATACTTAAAAATTATATTTTAAAATATCGTCGTCCCCAAAGCCGTCCCCGTACTCTGGAATTTTTAGATTTGCCGTTTTCCGTTTCCATCCCCGTACCTGTATTTGCCCCCGTACCCGTATTGGTGCAACATAAATGATGGCCACTTGATGAGTTGATGGCAGAGATAGAAAATTGTCCTTTTGGTCTCAATACTCTGAACTCCTTCATCATGCCTATCTCCTATTGACTCGCAATCTGGTGATCTAGGTTGTTCCCCTCTCGACAATGAAACATATCCCCTATTGTTTCACAATCTCACTGTCTCGCGTACCTACCCTCTACCAGGAATAATCAAGTCACTACGAAGCTGATGCATACATCATACTAGTAGTAGGCAAACCTCCTAACCACTTGAAATATAATATGGAACCTATCTGGCATCATTACAAGCCCAAGTGATCACACTCTAAGCATAAAAACTAACTGTAAAAAATATACATATGGACTTATGATACCCTACCCCTGAATTAAAGGAGAGGCGAATTGGCATTGGCAAAATATTCCCCGGGAATCAAAAGCATGAATCACAAACCCGCCATCCCATATGCCAAAGTACAACGTTTGTTCTGGGTCCACATTGCTTATTCCATATGAGAGGTATTGACATCTTATATCTTCATAGGGCACCATACATTTCACGTAATCAAGCCATCAAAAATCCATCCCAGTAGCATATCATCCCAGTCATAAAATCTTTAATCTCCAGCACCGTGCAACCTAGCCCTACCCAAACTACTTCCCGGAAATCAAAAGTGCACAACATTTCAATTAATCAAACCACCCATTTCCTCTCCATAGCAAACCACCCATTTCCTTTACTCTGATTCCAGCAAAATGCAACCTAGACCTACTCAAACTACTTCCCGGAAATCAAAAGCGCTACGCATTTCAATTAAACAAACCACTCATATCCTCTCCATAACAAATTACCTCAATTAACCTTAAATCTCCAGCACCATGCAACTTAGCACCACGCAAACTATTTCCCGGAAATCAAAAGCACCACACATTTCAAGTTACTAAGCGATCCATACCAACTTCAATAGCAAACTACCGCAATCCTAAGATTACAATCTCCATCATAAAAATCTAATCTCAGCTAAAACTAACAAATTCAGCTCTCCTGAACTAAACAATCATAAATTTACAGAAAATCAAACCCAAAATAAAAATTTTTTAAAAAAAAAAAAACAATAATCAACTCCAAATAACATAACATTAAGAAAAAATAAATAAAAACCAATTACCCGATCCTCAGGATGAAAGCAGGGATGAATGATTCCATTCATATCAAGATAAAGATTATCATACTCGAGATTAGGATTAGGTTTACTGGTATCAACTGGAATCTTAATTCCATCGATTTCAACTTCTTCTTCCTCGATTACATCCACAACAATTAACGGATATTTCTCTGCTAACCACCGGTAAAACGCTGGAACTCCCATTGCAGCAGAAGTTCAATGTCGTAAACCCTAGATTGGGAGAGAGGATAAACCCTAATTTAATAAAATTAGGGGAAATTGGTTTAGGTTAGAGAGAGAAAGAAGATTTTTACGACGGCAAAAAAAAAGGTAGGTTAAAGAGAGAGATATTTAGCTGGACGATTTTGCCCTCCTGTGCGCGCCCTCTACACGTGTGCAATTGTACGACTCTGATTAACTGGATATTTTTTTGATGCATTGTTCTATCCGTTTGATCTTTAATTGTTTGCCGCCAATGGTTTTTTAATTTTTTGGGTACTCTCTTTTGTTTTTTTACTTGTGTTTTATGGCGCGCTCGGTAAAATATAGCTATAGAGGTAGTTGTTAGCTGTGATGGTGGTTGTTAGTTGTATGTGTAGCCGTTAGTTGTCAACTAGCAACTAGCTGCTAGCTGTGAAAATAAATAATTCAGTATGAGTGTTTGGTAAACTAGTTGTTAACTGTAAAATCTAATATATATATAGGCATTTTGCTTGTTTTGGTTTTGATTATGTACGTATGTGATGTTAGGGTGATTTGAAAACAAATTGCAATTGATTTGAACTTGATTTGAGCATGTTTGAGTATATAAGATTCAAATATTCGAAGGGAGGTTGCGGTCACCAACAGGGATAATGGGGAAAGGGATGGTCCACCGGCGGTGGAGGTAGGTCGCCGGAGGTGGGGGGATCTGGGCGGCGGGTCCGATGGGTGAGGGGGTTGCTTCCAAGGGAGGGGAAAACGGAGGAAGAAGGGGAAGGGGTGGTTAATTAGTTGGTGGTTGGGGTGGTGACTTTTTTATGTATAAATTAAATATAATTATTAAGTAATTGGGTGGGTTAGTGGTTAATTAGAAGAAATGGGAGGAAATTAGAGGCTAATTAAGTTAATTAGAGGATAATTAAGGAAATAGGTTTCCTCTCACAAAAAATGAACGTGGTGGTATTTTTTAACCAAAAAGCTTTTAAAAGGTTTTTTGTTTTCTTACAAAATGGTGCTTTTAAAAGTTTTTTTTTTTTTTACAAATTTGCCTTTTATTTGATTTTTTTTTGGGTAAATTTTATATATTGCATGCAGTTACTAGTGTAGCTCACTTGCTTTATCATTCTCTCTCCTCTGCTAAATACTACCTCCATTTTTTTAGTTGGCACATTTTGACTTTGTGCACTATTCACAGAACTTACTTTGACTTTTTCTTTGTGATTTAATGTTAGATAAAGACATAGTTGTGTGAGGTCTTGTTAGTTTCGTCTCAACATCTAGTTTCCGAGTATAAAAATTTTATAATTTTTGCTCTTACGCAATTAAAGATATTTATATTTAAAAGTATACGTTGGCAAACTTTCCTAAATGACATGTGTCAACTAATGTCAACTAAATATAAACGGATGAAATATTTAAATTTTCTCTACTAGGCTTGTAATAACTACTTACTCACCATTAAGTATAGACTTGGTGCACTTAGCGTTGATTACAAGGGTTGGTCAAAGGGAGGTATGTCCAAAATATCTTTAGCGGATCATCAAGGTCAAGTGGATTGAGTAAATTAGAATAACCACCCCAAGCCTACTATTTATTATTTATAATTAGTGGCAATAACAATTTCAATTACATCCACATGTCCATCTTCCCAAACTCTAGTTAAGTGATCTATTGGGCTAAGATGAGCTATTAGACGTGTCGTTATTATACTCGTAGAAAAAAAAAATTATATGCACAGCTTAATTATATTAGCCTTAAAGGCACCTAATTAATGTGAGAGGGTGTAAATGGTTGATACCAAAATTAGTTATTTCCCTACCTTACAAAAAGTAGAAAATAACTCTTAGGAATAGTGTGCTATCAACTATGCCCTCAAAAATATGTACAAAATTATGTACAAAAATGTATATTTACTTTTTTATCCTCATTAATGTGTTTACTCTCATTAATATATTTAATTGGTTTTTTTTCATTAAACATACCATCAATTACTACAAAGTTTTTTTTTAACAAAAACTTGTAATGCCTTTATTTTAAATAAAAAAATTATAATGTTTTTACTTCATATGTTATTATTATTATTTAAAAAGGAAAAAAAATGTATGTACGAAGACTTTGTTTATTATCACGAGATGAATTGTTTTTACTCCTTCGTGGTTGCTCTTCTTATTTACAATTTTGTTGTCCTTTAATTACAAATATTGTTATGGTTTATTAGCTTTTCAATTGTAATTATTTGATGGCACGCACATAAACAACGTGGAATTTAAATGATATTCATATTAAATAATGATATTTGAGCAGATGTTATCAAGAGGTATAAATAACTTTAAAATCCTAAAATCGAGGGAAATCGATCATAGAAAAAAAATATATATTAAATATGGAGAGAATTTAAAAGGAAAAATATAACTAAGTGGTTATTGCTTTAGTATTAGCTATAGATATAGATATTAGATGGTCGTAGAACATTGAACTTACATTATTAAGTTTTTAGCTACAACGAACATTTCACATATTATTAGTCCGTATGACCAAACTCACAAAAAAATCATTTGAAGAAAAATACGTTAAGTATTATTGAATCATGCAAATCAATTAAAAGTTCTAAAGTAGCTTAAGATATGAAGGGATGCAAATCAATTAAATATTATTTAATAATAATTTTGAAATAACACTGTCAAACTTTTAAGGGTTTTAACAAATAATTGTCATTAAAGATTTTGGCGGCTTTTTTTTATACTTCTACAAAACCATTACATAGGCACATAAACCAAATCGTACGTATTAAAATTACCAGGTCTACCACCCAAACCAAAGGTGTAACTACGCACTAATACAACTTCTATGCAAGAGCTAACTCTTTCGCGCGCATCGCGCGCGTAGGGTACCCTAGTTTTAATGAAAATAGAATAAATAAATAAATAACTCTTTATAAATCGATGAAAGTGTATATAAATATTCGTTAATGAATTCTTGTATAACTACAATTTCATCAAAAAATATTTGAAAATTAAGATGTCTCAAGTCAAGACTCACAGTAAGGCATAATTGAGGGTGCTCACTCAATTTCCGGCCTATCTTTCTTCCACTCAATTTACAGCCTTTCTTCCTTTCTTTTAGCTTTTACATCTAGTAGAAAAGATAATCAAAGAAAAACTCTCATTACCTCTTTGTCAACGGCAAAAAAACTTTTCTTGAATTCTGTAACACCCCCAAATCTCCTTCTACGGAAATATTAGTATGATACATATAATTATACCGTAGAGATAGACTTGAGCGTATTACCCCCGCGTGATTACGCAAGGCTACTCAAAATACTTAACTCAACAACAAAACTTGCAGCGGAAACTCAACTTTCTTTTATTAATACTTATAAAAATAGTAACATGGTTATGAGTGCTCAAAAATAAAGACAATACCAACATTCCTAAACTAGATGAAACAAATCCCAGGACTCCCATATGCTCATTCATGACTCGACCTGAAAATAGTCAACACTGCTTAACATTGCGATAAACAGGGCGAACCAAAACAAATAAGAAATACGGATTAGCAAATTATGCTAAGTACGATAAGTGCAAGATAGTGTAAATTCAATTTATTTGCAAACATGCTTTTAAAACCAATTCCAATAAATTCAAAACTCATTATTCCAAAACCGATTCCAATGATTTATATTCAAAATAATAGTTAATAAAACTAATTCCTTTATTAAGAACCAATTTCTTTTAATCCAATTCCTCACCCAAGTGTGCACACCCCCAAGCTAGTCTCTTTATATTACAATTCAAGGTTATTCTCGAGGAAAGACCCGATCATACAAAGTCCAAGGCCTTATCAATAAACCAAATCCGCATAGTGGGATTACTAACATGCTTATAAAGCATTTATAATAATAATTCAATGGTTCAATATTTAATATCCAATATTTCCAATATAATTAAAAAATCCTTTTTTAATTAATTCCACATGCTTTCAAATTAAAATCAAACCTTGTAAATAAATACTTGAGAATAAAATCTCATATTAATAACTTTTCAAAATCAAACTATCAATTTAATTCATTCACCAATCAAATCATGTAAAACATGTTATTCAAACCAATCACTTTCAAAGATATCTAGCCATCTAAACGTACTTTGATGCTTGCTAGAAAAACCACACAAAAAGAATCTAAAGAACTAGTACTAACTGTTGCCACTCCCAAACATTTAGTAGTTGGTAGGGCTCGAACTTATGTCACAAGGTGAGTTCCCCACCAACTCCACCAAACTTGCTTATATATATATATGTATATAATTCACCACAAAGTAGATGTATACGACGGGAAGGCGGAGGTCGATTTGACTGATTTCGCCGGCAAAGATGAAGACGAAGATGACGACGGAGGTCTGGGTTGGTTTTCAAGGAGAAAATGGAGGAGAGGAGAGGAGAGAGAAAATAAAGAAAAAATTGTGATTGTCTTCACCGTGCGGGGCATGCGGCCAGCCACATATAAAATTTTGTGCTATTGTTGGCAAAACCGCTACTTCGGTTTAATAAAACCGCTACTTCACCTAAAACCCTTCCTTGTGGTAGCGTTTTATCCCAAAACCGCTACTTGAATGGCGGTTTCCTCATTATTCCTCGTCAATTTTATTCACTGTTGAACTTCTCATTTTTATTTCTTCCTTACTCTCTGCCATTGAAGCGTACTCTGAATTCTCCATTGAAGCGGCTTCTGAGCTTTCTCTCCGCCATTTAAGCAGCTTCTGAGGTAATAAGCTTGTTTCTTTTCTTAACCTTCGAATACAAATTTCGCAATCTAGGGTTTCAATTATCAGTATAGTCAATTTAGGGTTCTTTTATGATGGATTTAACTATTGATTGTTAATGCTGAATTTATGATGATTTTAACGAGCAATGCTGTTGCTGGAATATTGCTATGTTGAAGCTAAGGGATATTTATGTGATTTTTCGAGCCTAATTTGATAATTGAGTCAAATTGATTGCAGGAATTTGTTTATAACCCTTTGATGCTAGGACGGAACTATGAAAATGGATCTTTTTTCCCGGGAACGGCCTCCCATCGTGCCCTGGCTCAGGGACAGGCCTGCCAAGAAATCGGATACATACACATTGATCAAAACGAATTTTCATATAGGAAGTGAGATATTTTGGCCCTATTCTTTTCATTTTTAAATATATGTTATGTTTATGAAGGTCCATAATTTAGAGTATCATCGCGATTTGGTAGATTAGACATTTATCAAGCAATTCTTGTTTGGTTCCATGAATTATATAGATTATTTATTGAACAAAGGAATCTGTAATTTGGCTTATTAATAGATTGGATTCCAAGCAACGTGGTTTTCGACCTTTCTGGTATAACCTGTTCAGTCACCTCTTCATTTTACATACCTCCACACTGCATGGTTTATCAGCTCACCCTCCACCTCCACCTCCACCTCCACATGCCTTATTGCCTTTGGAATGCGACAATCCCCAATGATTGCTTACTTGGGTATATTCATCGGTCTATTTGTTTTACTAGCTATTAACTTTTTATTTCAGCTGGTAATGGTTAGCTATTATGGGGTAGTTGTCACTTGTTAATGGTTTATCTAATAGGTTGATCAAAAGTGTTAAGCAAGACTAGTAAGTAGTACGTAGTAAAAATATGTGAAGGAAATGATTGATTTTCTAGCCTTGTCCGCGTAGATGTGTCTCATATATTCAGAAACGCGGTGGCTTTAGCTGTGAGTAGTTGCCATGGCCCATGATAGAGAATTAGAGAATGGTTTGTTGGAGGAGAGACGGAGACAGTTTTATGGAGAATCATATCTATTCTCATTAGGGTACTTTTATAATGAGACATCAATATGCAATCTTCAAGTTACTGAAGTATTATACTAAATATAAATTGTTTCATAGGGGATTAATAAATACTACAATTTTGACTTTTTTTGAGGGAGTAAACTTGTTGGACTACTACAAGTAGGCTTAGAAGAAACCCTCTCCAACTGAACCCTTTTTTTTTTTTTTTTTTTTTCACATAATAATAAAGCCGAAATGCACCCTGAACTATTACATCACCCAAATGAAATATAAAAATCTGAATTTCTTTATCCTCTTTGATCCCATCGCTACCTAATTTACCCCACCCCCTCATGAACTGAAAGGAGAATTATACAAGTGAATTGGTACTTTTTTTGGTCCAATAAAATTAATTGGGTAGTGAATTACAAACCCGTACTGATTCTCATACTGATGAATTAGGTAACACTGCTATGATCACATGTGTTGCTCTACTAGTTTACCTATGGGAAATGCAAGATGATTCTAGTCTTTGGATTGAGGATTGTATACTCGTATAGTGAGATGGAAAAGAATGTTGCTGATAGAGTGATAGGTATTACTTATATTAAAGAAACACGGTTGAAGAAGTCCAGTGATTTTCGAAAAGTTTATTTAGTAATTATGTTTTAACTGGTGCTCCTTGTTAAAAGCATTTAGCATGCTTTGCTGCAGCTCATTTGTTAATTTGGAGATGACGTGAGTATGGTGAGAAGTAAGGACTTTTATAAAGGTGATGTGATTTCTCTTCTTCAGTCGTAGTTTAGGCTTTTCAAACTTTGATTTGATCAACAAAAGTATCCTAAGGACAAAAGTAAGGCTTTTATCTAGAGAGGTGAATAAAGATAGACATATTGACTGTTGCATGAGATTTGGAAGTATCTATTATTGAAAAGGGTTATCACTGCAGATTTCTGGGGATAAAGAGCTCTAATCTGAACTTCTGAAGTCCAAATTCTTCTGGTGTGATCTTGTCTTATTGGTCCTTGAATAAGTGTACTCTATGCCATGTTCACTGAGCTTAGTACTTAACAAGAAGTCTTTTGCCGAGATTCCTAGTTATATAAATGTTGCAATCCCTTAAAGTAGATTTTATAATTCCTCCTAGTAAGGGCATCTGGCTACCTCCTATTATATCCAAACCATCTTATCTTAGTCTCTCTCTCTCTCTCTCTCTCTCTCTCTTCTTGTTTTTTTTTTTTTTTTTTTTTTTTTTTTTTTTTTTTTTCCATCGCTTCTTAAGTATTTACTTTTTTTCTTATCAACTACATCAATTTGACCTCCCATTTGTTCCTATCAACGACCATGTCTTTGACGAGTAGACGTAGACTTATTATTATTTCAATTCTTCTTGGGTTCATCATTTCTTCCCTTGCAATCCTTTCACCTTTACTTATTATAATCATTTCCTCCAACTTACAAAGCAAGAGAAAAGGGGAAATATCATGCTCGAATCCTAATTTTTATTTATTTCTATATAGGGCCATGTTTTATGTAAACTTTAGCAAGGCTAGATCCCTTTTCGTCTGACTTTGCCTCTTCTCTTCTTAACCTATACATACCATCTTAGTCTCATTTATAGCATCATTTCATCTATAGAAGCTATTCCCACCTTATCTCTTATCCTTTTATTCTTGACTCCATCTCTTAATGCATGTTCTCACATGAGCTTGATCGTAATGAGTCTGAGCTGCACCCATGATTTTTAATGGCATTTATTATGGTTGAGTACCTATTAGGCATTCTCCATAGGAGGCACCCAATTTACAATGGATAACAGATTAATCTATCTCTCCATTACATATTTAACCCCAAATATATGAGACACTGTACTTTCATTTTATTACCTTCTCCAGTAATATCTTAAGGTCTGCGGTATCCCACATGTCCTCTAACTTACTCTAAGTTCTTTTTAATTCTTCAAAACAAGAAATCCATTGATTTTAAGGTTTCCCTCCTAATTTTATAACTTGTCATTGGCGCCTTCTTTAGTCTTGGAATCTCATACACTGAAACTGTAATCAGAAAATAACGTACACCATGGTAATGCTCCTTGGAGGCTTGGATTGTTGTTCTTAAGCTTGTTATTATTGTAAAAAGAACTTAAAGTAGGTCCTATCAGTCTATCACTGTGCTTATCTGGGCTGATGTGTCTATATTTAGTCCGATTAAGAAGCTTTGACATCTTTACTTGATGTGAAGCTCATCTAGAGCTGTACCTTTTCCATCTTTGATGCATCTCACCTGATCAGGTTTAATGATTTCACCGTAGCCCTCACTAATCTAAATTGTGTGCCTTTCTTTCTTTTTGTCCAATTATTGGTATAACAGTTAATATGCCCTTATTTTGTCTGATACAATTGTTTTCTTCACCCTTTTGTTAGCAATCCTGTACTTGTTCTTGTTTGCTACACTTTTTTTTTAAGAAAAAAAAGATATGTTGTTACCTAAGACGTTGTATGCCTCCCTCCTTGATATTTTGCCCTGAACTTCTTACCGCCTAAAATGATTTGGACGAACAGTATCAAGTATCTTGGGTTGTATCACCTCTTTGAAGGAGCCAAGGAGGGACACTTGTAGAATTGTTTAATATGCTAGAAGAGAAAAGTATGGACTATAATATGCTTGTTAGTAGAATGTATAAGTTTTATGCTTTCCAATGCATTGAACATTTAGCACCAATTTTCATCTATCACTAGGCAAATTCACACTGGAACTGTTTACTTATCTATAATAGTATATTGGTAATTGGTAGATTGGGTGTTTCTTAGAATTAGAAGAAAATGTTACTCCCTATAGAAATGGAAAATAGAAATGTTTATTATAGAATTCTAATTTGTTTTGTTTGCCGCAGATATATCCTCAGATTTGACTGTGATCTCGCTATATCTGCAGCTGATTCTATATCTTTTGAGGGCAATGTTTCAACTTTTCATTAATCATTACAATGAATTGAATAGTGATAACTTAGCTGATTATTGCACATGACTCTCTCCATTCTTACTTTTTTTTTTGAGTGCTTTTGATTAGTAGTTTGGTTAGTTGCCTTTGATCAAGAGTTCAACATAAAAACCTTCTGCAATTAAGGCTGCATTTGTTTACCTTTACCTTCCTTTACCTCATCCGAGGGTTGGGGTCTTGTTAGAGACATAAGAGTGATGAACTGATATGGTATTATGGATTTTGAATGGTTTGTTAAAGTGCATTTTGGCTCCCTCCTATAAGAATCAATTTTAATTATGTAGTGACGGGTGCTCCTTGCTAGATGGTTACTCACTTCATGACTATTTTATGGTCTATATTTGTCTTTCATCTAAGTAAAAGTGGAAAAATCTTTAGTTTATTGTGGTGTGAAGCTGTGAGGAGAAGAAATAAGGATGTAATGATAGGAACAGAATTACAAACTGCATATTAACAACCTTACTTGTTTATCACTTGTCTAAAGTTGCAAGTTTTAAATTCCTCTCTAATCATTCTCACTTGTTGGCGACCTGTCAATTTGATACTCGTAGACATCCCTTTTCATGTTCAACAAAGTGCAATTGTTACAGAAAAATTTGTTCTCTTTATCTATAATGTATTTCGATTGAATGGCAGGTACTTTGACCTCTATAGTTGTGAATTTAGTGATTAATTGTTGTATTTTCAATTGTAATTTGTATGGATAACTTTGTTGTTTGAACTTATTGGATCCTCTTTGACCATGCTCGTGGTGGTGGTACCTACTGTTTGCTTATCTCGTTGCTATTGTCATTTTTGGTATTGTTATCCATGTGTTTGTGTTCGTATTTTGTGACAATCAATTTTTACCATTAACATTTTATATGTTTTTCAGGCACAAGAAGCAGAAAGAGGAAGATATTGTCATTTGTGAATGCAAATTCAATCCTAGTGACCCTGAGAGTGCTTGTGGTGATGGATGTCTGAATGTACATACCAGTACAGAGTGCACTCCTGGTTATTGCCCTTGTGGTGTAGTTTGTAAGAATCAGGTGATTTGCCGTGCTTCCCATCGTCATCTATTATGTCATTAGGATGTTTGTTTGTGATATCTTTACTTCTCCGTTCCAAATTGGGCTTCTAAAATAAGCATATCTGCTCACCTGGAACAAAGAAAGAGTTTGAAAAAGTAGGGAAGGAAATACTCTGGCTGATTGTACAGATAAATTTTATTTAAATCATAATGGCACTAATGACGGGCGCACTTCCCCTTGGTGCCATTGTATTGGAGTTTCTGAGTTACATTTTATGATGTAAAGCGTTGCTGAGATGCTCTAATTTATCCCCTTACCATCCCTTCACATAGTTTCTTAGAAATTGTCATGTAGTGAACTTTCTTTTGTTGGGTATTATGCAGTCAGCTTTTACCATTGCTTACAACAAGTCTCTTTAAGAATTATCTGTGCTATGCATGCCCAAAATACAAAATTCTGTTTCCTCTCTCAATTCCTGATATGCATTTGCTTTACAGAAATTTCAGAAATGTGAATATGCAAAAACCAAGTTATTCACAACCAATGGTCGTGGATGGGGTCTTCTTGCTGATGAAGAAATTAAGGTATTGGTCATTTAAAAGCTTAAACAACTTTCCATCATTTTACTTTTGACTTACTCAGTTACTTAAGTTACTTTACCAACACTGTATGATCGGGTTCTGATGGCCAGTGTGTCCTTTTCTACGTGTAACTCTTGAAAGTGTTCCTACCTAAGAATGAGGTTGCTCTACTGCTTTTGATGACCTGACACTTTTTATTATGTCTTTCTATATTGATTTTTTAAAGTGAATTTATGACGGAACTCAATATCTGTATAATTAATCCATGAAATTAAATGTATGTGGATAACCCTTTAAAATTAAATGTATGTGCAGTTTTTCTTACTTGCGTTAGTTATTTGTTTTACTTTGGTGTCAATGAAGTGCCACCAGAATCTCATTTTTCACAATCTATTTCATTTTTCAATCCATCTAACTCCTTGGCTCAATACCTCAGGCTGGACAGTTCATCATTGAATATTGTGGTGAAGTAATCTCATGGAAAGAAGCTAAGAGTAGAGCTCAAGCTTATGAAACCCAAGGTATGTTGTTTGTCTTTGGCTTTGGTAAATTTGAATTTAAGTTCCTTGAAAACCTGCTGTTGTTGGTTGGAGGTTGCTTAATAAAACTTGGAATTTTTCTCACGTCAAGGTCTCAAGGATGCATACATTATATCTCTTAATGCCTTCGAATCTATTGATGCAACTAGGAAGGGAAGCCTCGCTAGATTCATCAATCATTCATGGTGAGACTTACGCATAGTTTTATGACTTGTACAATCCAAGTATAATCCTCTCACTGCATTCTCTCTTTTACTTTGATTTCACAGTCATCCAAATTGTGAAACAAGGAAGTGGACAGTGTTGGGGGAAATAAGGGTTGGCATATTTGCTAAGCATGATATTTCAGTTGGAACAGAACTAGCATATGATTACAACTTTGAATGGTATGGTGGTGCAAAGGTGCGGTGTCTCTGTGGTGCTGCTAGTTGTTCTGGATTTCTCGGGGCAAAATCTCGTGGTTTCCAGGTAAATTAAGTGATGATTGGGAGGTTATGAGTGCTATATTCATGTGTCGCAAGCATAAGCTGTTTTCATGGTATTATAACTTCAGATATATTTTAAAAGAATGCTTAAAATGCAGTACATAAATAATTTCAACAAAATGGGATGTTTCAGATCTCTTGAATGGATATAGGCAAGTTTTTTGTTGTAGGATATGTAATTCGTATCAGCTAGCCACAAATAATCTAGTAACTTGGCTCCGTATAATCTATCTTGGTAAATTCACCCATATCAGGCAATGCCTGGACGTAATTAGGATGGGTTTCTTCTACTGTTAATTCTGAAATAAAAGGGGGCGGAGTTTTTCCACTGCAGATACTGCTCTGTTGGTGATTGCATTTCTGCAAGATGCAATATATGTCAATGTAGTCATCACCTGTTTTGTGTTTTTGCGATTTATATTACTTCCAATGAAAAGTTTCTTATATTGCTGTATTAAGCTAATTTTTTCACTCTTTTATTCACACAGGAAGACACGTATCTGTGGGAAGATGATGATGACAGGTAACATCTGATTACAGACACTAACGGTCTTGTGTGCAGCTTTCAACTGTCTTTTTTTTTTTTTTTTTTTTTTTTTTTTTATTTATTTTCTATTTTTTATGTAGCTTATATCTAATCTGAAAATCTTTGTTGACAAAACTGTTTTCCAGTGATCTTGCTCAATCTGTTTCTCATTTTTTCTTTTTAGTTTGAAGCTTCTACTCAACATTTTAATCAACTACTGCTATCTTTTTCTCTCCTTAATGTCCCCCAGGACTTAAATAGGCATAAAAGACTTCATATGATTTTTCCTAATTTATTTTTCATGCTGACATTTCTTTAGAGCTAGGTTTTCTGGAATATTCCATACTTAAGCTGATTAATACCTATAGTTTATTGTCGGAGCCCCTCCCTAGGCATGCAATTATGGCTCTTATCTTTTTGTGTAGGTCTATCGTCTATGTCTTCTATCTAGTAATTTACTTGTGCTGTTTTCCCTTTCTTTTCCTCTCTGGCAATATGATAGTTATATATTGTCAAATCATGTATATGGACATTAACATGTCAGCTTTTTTTTTTTCCACAGATACTCCGTTGAGAAAATTCCTCTGTATGACTCAGCTGAAGATGAAGCTTCAATGCAAACGGTTACAAGTACAAACTCCTCCAAAATTGAATTTATGATGGATGCCGATCATACAATTGATTCTACTCTGCTGAATATTGATCCACTTGCTTCTATTCCAGCAAATGGTCTTGCATCCATCTCCCGAAATTATCCTCTAGCTAAGAAAAAGCTAAAACGTTTGCCCAAGGGAAAGTCTAAAATTTTGGCACAAAAGGAATTTAATGCTAAGTATGTTGTCTCCCTTCTAGAAGCAAAAGAAGCACAACAAGAGATCCTGATGTATGAGGTATAAATTGGAGACCTGACTGGCTTTTTCATAAATTTTCAGTTTTCCTTAGCTGCATCTGACTGGTCTAATAGGCTTTAGTTTTAACACATTCTTTTAATTTTTCTTAGTCTCATGCTGGTTTCCTATCATATCCGTCTATGATGTTAAGTGAAGTGTTTTTACCTTTCTTGTGCAAGTGTATTCTAGGTGCCTACGTGCTTTTGCAGTATTTACTAGGTCTAAGTAGTTCATATGTATCTCCATTGGAGTATTGTTAAATTTTTGGCTACAATAATCGAACGTACTACTGCCTTGTTTTTGTGTACGATTACACTAATTCAGCCTTTTCATACCCTTTGTAAACAAATTGTCTTTTGTGGGCCATTTACAAAAAAATCTTTGTACTGATTTAAATTGGTTGGGGGTGACCGGGTGAGTGGTGATGCCCTTCATCCTGACTACCCAACCTTACGTGAATGTAGACTGAGTTGTCACTGTTGCTTTGCTTTATCAGGGCTGCATAACCAATGGTTAATACCACATTATGTGGGTTCAGTCTTTGACTTTATTGATGTTACATGGTTTTGCAGCCTTTTTTCACCTTCTTTTTGGGATTATATGGCGGTAAATCTGGCAAGTGTAGATTAGTAGTCTTCCGGGTTCCTTATTAGGTTATTTTTAGTGGTTCTAGCTGTTTCTTGTACAATTTCTGATGACTGTGCACTCCCAATGCAGCTTAGTGCTAGCATCCTCAACCTACGTTTCCAAATTTAGCAATTACAGTTGTATGTTCTGTTCCTGAAATTCCAGCTTATAAAAATTTGAGTTGTCATAACTAGCTGCAGACAGATTTTTTCCGGGCTTTTTGTCTCACTTTTTATTGTGCAGGAAATGAAAACTGATGCAAGCTCCAATCTTGAATCTTTGTACAATGAAATAAGACCCGCTATTGAAGAGCATGAAAGAGATACACAAGATAGTGTACCAACAAGTGTAGCAGAGAAGTGGATAGATGCAAGCTGTGTAAAATTGAAATCCGAATTTGATCTGTATTTCTCTGTCATTAAGAATGTCGTGTGCGCTCCAAAGAACTCTCGTGACGTCAGGCAACCAGGTAATGATATGGATAATGGAGTTATGCTGTTGACTAATCAATGATATCATGCATACTGTTAATCTAACCTGTAGTTTCAATTGTTTCACATTAAGGTTGTAAAAATGAGAAGCGAATAGGAATAGGTTTGCCAACTGTTGTAGTTGTAGGCAACCTCATTTTTATCTGTTGGGAGTAGACACTAGACAAATGTACATTGCAATTATTCTTGTCCTGCAGAATGTTTTTTTTTTTTTCAAGAAAAAAAGTAGAGGTTAGGAGTACAAGATGTAAGATTTGTAATTATATGTGCGAAGAATTAGTAAATTTACCAATTTGCTTGATTGTTCAAGTTTTGAAACGATAACTCCAATTAATGATTACTCGTTCATTGGATTTAAAAAGAAGTTACATTATACTCCCTCCGTTTCTTTTTTAGTAGAATTTTCTGGGCTTTTGTAATTTTTAGTAGTATTTTTTTTTTAATTTTCCAGGAATTTATCTGTGTTGAATTTTATGCTTATTTAGAATTTTCTGGGCTTCTATTGTCGTACTTGTGCTGACTTTTCTAACTGAAAAGGATTTTGTTTTGGCTTGGGAGCTTGTGAATGTTGTGATGTTCACTACTTTGGATGTCTGAAATCAGATTAGATTCCTTACAAATTGTTATTCAATATTCACAGTACCTTTCAATTGATATACTTTTTCTATAATTTAGTAGAACAATTGTGTTTAATTGTGTTATTGTTAGATGATTGGAGCAGCTATATTGCTATAAGAATTAATGAAACAAGTCGTATTGAAATATAATACTTCGTGTTCATGTTGATCATCGATAATGACCTTGAATATGAATCGAACCTAATGAAGCCGTATCAACCTAAAATTAGAATTGGATTACTCCTTTTCACCTCTCTGAACAAGGACGATAAATAGACTGAGCCTTTACAAATGTACTTCACTACTTAGTATGTTATAACCACATATGTAGCTGATGATATTAGACTGTTAGTTAATTTACAAGATCTCTTGGATATTATGTATGATAATAATGATACTTTTAGCTTTATTGTTGCTAGATTATTGGTATTGGACGCTTGTGTTATTGCGCCCTTAACATGTACTACGTAATAATGGCCATTGTATTTGAGTAAATCCAAGTTACTCACTTTGAGTAACATGAATTGTTACTCAAAGGGCATGTTAGTAATTTTCAGTGGCATTAGTAAGGGCAAATTAGGACAATTTTTTTTGTACTCAAATTGAGTAGAAACAGTGGTGTGGAAGAAGCAACTTCAATGGAGCTCAAGACCGGCCTTCAATGGGGAAATTTAGTGGAAGAAGACGACACCCCTACCATTTGGGGTTAACCTTCTCTAGTGACTTAGGAGGAAGAAGACCATGACAACAACTCCGATTGTGGCTCTCCGGTTTCTTTCGATTGCTTTTGCTTTCTCTCTCCTTGACCAGTGCTTTAGAATACTATTATTTTTGTATTTCAAAGCAAGATCACATTGCCATTTGAGTAACAACCTTTGTTACTTTTTATTTTTGAAGACATCAGCCTTTGTTACTCATTATGAGTAACCAGGATGAACTCACTTTATTTTCCTCTTTTAGAATAAGAGTTTAAACACGGTTTTTAACCAACTCAAAAACAAACATAAATAAACTTGTAAATTAAAACAATTGAGTTGTTTGTGTATGAGTGTGTGTGAGCTAAGAACACGTAAATATTCAAGGTAGACTCAACTTTTTTCTTTTGACGAATTTTTATTCAACCACATTTATTTATTAGTGAATTAATTAGTGAATAAATAATGACCGAACTTTTTACAAATATATTGACTGATAGACAACCTTACACGTAGCCGAAGAACAAACAAAGAAATGGTCCAAACTATTGCTTAAAAGTTACTCGTACTCTACCAAGGGAAAGAGTAGAATTGGAAGACCACCCTTAAATTCTCACTTCGTTTGTCTTCATTTGCAAAAGGTACAACACTGACCGTTGACTTGTTGACTTAAAAAGTCAAAGTTATCACCTTCCTCGAACCTACCTTTCTTTTACTATGATCACTCCATTGATTGAAAACATTCTCACTCACACAATATTAATCCTATTATTAGCTTCCATTTTTTAATTTCTCCTCAAAAATGGATCAACGTCTTGAATTCTTCATTGCAGGACTAGGTTGCTTCATTCTTCTTATGTCTCTCCCCCTCCTCCTCATGATCCTATGTGCTAAATGCAAACCAAACCACCACCGCCGCCATCGTAGCCAGCTCCCCGTGTCGCGTTCTACCTTGCCACCCGTCGATGGTTCGCCCTATATCTCCACCTCCTTTGATCCGGTTCTTTGCCACCTCTCCATGCCTGAGCTCTTCGAAGCTACGAACGGGTTTGATCCTAAGCTCATCATAGGGGATGGTAGTTTTGGCCTTGTTTATAAAGCTAAGCTACCCTCCGGTGTCACTGTCGCGGTTAAGAAGCTAGGGGAGGATGCTTTCCAAGGGCTTCGTGAGTTTAGGGCGGAGATGGAAACCTTGGGGAGACTTCGTCACCAGAATATTGTAAAGATTTTAGGTTATTGCGTGTCGGGTTCAGATCGGGTTCTTATTTATGAGTTTGTTGAAAAAGGGAGTTTGGACCAATGGTTACAAGACATGTCATCGTTGTCATTTAATTCTTGGTGGGTCCCTTTGTCTTGGGATTTGAGGGTTAAGATTATTAAAGGGGTGGCTGATGGGCTTGCTTTTTTACATGGACGGGATGTTGCAGTTGTACATAGAGATATTAAGGCTAGTAATGTGTTATTAGATAATGAATTTGAGGCTCATATTGCCGATTTTGGTTTGGCTAGGAGGATTGAAGGGGCTAACTCCCATGTTTCCACCCAAGCCGCCGGGACCATGGGTTATATGCCTCCAGAGTACCTATGGGGTTACCCGAATGCTAGTGTGAAAGGTGATGTGTATAGCTTCGGAGTTTTAATGTTCGAGGTGGCTACAGGGAAGCGGCCTAATTTGCCCGTTCGGGACGACGGATGTGAAATTTGGATGTTGGAGTGGGCTAAGAAAAAAATAGGTGAAAGAAAACATGTTGATGTATTAGACATTAGTGTACCTAGGAAAGACTTGAGAGAAGATGAGGTTTATGAATTTTTTAAGATTGCCAATTTGTGCACTAACCAAAGGCCTAACGAACGTCCTTCTATGTGCAATGTTGTGGAAATGTTAAATCATATTAGTGTAGATTCTCAAAAAGTGTAAGATTATATGTAGTTTTGAAAAAATAAAAATTATTTTAATAGAATTCAAGTTGCTTAAAGAAGAAACATAATGAATAATGAAGTATACATTTACAATAAAAAATGATATGTAGTTATTTTTGTGATCTGACTTGAATACCTTTAAATGATGTAATCTGTATCAGTGTATGATATGATTATATCCTATTGAAAATTTGTAAAAAAAATTGCATTAATATTTCAATTTCTCAAGGTAAGTAACCTAGATATTGTCTTTATGTTTGGTTTGTAATTGTATGTGAGTTACGATAACTTATCCGTGTTCACATGGTTTGCTTTAAAATAAAAAACTGGAAGGGAGAATATATTTAAAGGAGGTGGTTTTATTTTATTTATTTTATTATTTTTTAATAAAAAAACCAAAAAAGCATTATCAATGAAATTAAGGGATCAAACATCCATGAGTACATACGGATCAACCTCTTGGGAATAGTGATTCACCCAAGTTTGTTTAGCATAAAAAAGAATGAATTTAGCATGATTATGAGCAACACAAATTTTATCTTGCCTAACATGGGACTAAGAAACATATTTATAACTGATACTCCCTCCTCCCTTTATTAGAAATCTATTTCTCACTTCAAAAAAAAAAAAAAAAACTATTTCTAACATATTTATTATCACATAATAGAGAGAAATATGCTTCTAATTTAAAGATAGAAGGAGTACATAAAAAAAGAATTTCCCAAATATAGTGTCAATGTCAGTTGCAAATTTCACCTCCTTAATTCGATAAGCGCTCAATGACAAACTTGCAATCTGATTCATTTCCTCCATAGGTGAGGTATTTTAAATGACACTAAGTTCTCTCGGTCTCTCCTAAAGACCGAAATATTGAAAAGTAATCTATATGATTCAGAATAATTGGCTCATTTTGAGGCTCATTTTGACTAAACATATAGACAATAATATATGAAAAATATACATTAGTAAAAATTATCTAAAGCTAATAGTATTAAAATGGATAAAGTATACTAATTAATGAATAATCTAAAATGGCTCAATTATCTTGGAACAAAGTAATCCTCCCACCGTCTCATATAGTAACTATTTCAACTAGCATAGTTTTATATTATTTATCCCTGTTTCATACTATTTGTAACGATTAGATTTTTTTTCTTTACTTTATGTCAAATCGTTGCAAATTATATGAAACATAGATAGTACTTATTTTTTTTTAATTGTGAAACATTACGCACAACGAACAATAAATCTCATTGATACAAAATACTACAACAAAACATAGAATTATGAGACATTATTAAGTCATCTTAATACAAATATTATTTTTTATTTTTTTTATTTTTAATAATATTAATTTTTAATAATTTTTTGTTACTCATATTAAATAATGGTCAATGGCCTTATTTGGCAAATGGCTGTTGGCGGTTGGCTGTTTATTGGTTCACTTGGCTTGTTTGACCAGTTGGAATGTTTGGCTGTTTATAATGGCTTTTGAAATTGGCTGTATAAGCTGGGTGTTTATAAAAGTGTTTGATAAATTAATTGTTGGTTGTTGGCTGTTTATTTGATAATTTGTAGGCCAACAAGCCAAAAGCCAACAAAAAAACTACTCAAAGCAGCTTTTCCATTTTGGCTTAAAAGTCAGGTTTTTCGCTAACTAAAAAACCAATTACCAAACACATTTTTTGACTCTTTGACTACTTAAAAAAGCCAAAAGCTAAAAGCCAAAAGCTAACAAAAAAGTCATTAAAAAGCCAATTACCAAACATGGCCAATATTAATATGAAATCGGTATTACAATAATGGGACGAAAGAGATTTTATTAGTCATTAGGTTATAGCCTATTTGTGACATATAAATACGTTGTTGGTAATTCCCCACATTCTCTTTGGCCGAACTCTCTCGACCTCTTCTCCTACTGAAGAGAGTTCTCTGAAATCTCCATTGAAGCGGCTTTTGAGCTCCTTAGGTAGGATTTCTTTTAATTTTAATTTTATCAATAGTCGAATATCAATTTTTCAAATTAGGGTTTAGTATCACTCTGTTTCTAATTTAATTGTAATTGCTGTCAATTTAGGGTTTATCTAAGGTTTATTATTGAACTATTGATTATAATTCTTGAAGGAAGTTCTGACTGATTATAAAGAGAAAATTTGTTGTTTGAATGTTCGTATGTGCAATTTACTTTGATATGAATTGAAATTCTTTATGTGATTCTTCGAGCTTAATTTGTTAATTGAGTCAAATTTGGTTGCTATTGTGTTGTAAAGTTTAGCCTAAATCATATAGAGCTGAGCCAAGATGAGCTTACTCGTATTCGGGTTTTGCTTGAAGCTTTAGCATTTTTAATGAACAAGAGGTCAAAATTATTGAACCATTTCATCAATTAAGCCTAATTTCACAGGCTTTTGTTGAAATTCCTTTTATGTTATGATCAAAGCTTTGAAATTGGGCCTTTTCTCTATGTGCAAAGGGCGGCCGTCTCTCTGTCCCTGGGATGGGGTAAAAAAATGTGAAGGGGGACAGAAATGCAAATCGAAGAATCATAAAACAATATAAGGGGTGTACTGGGTTCGTGAAGAGCTTATGTTCATGATGGTAGTTTGAGGTCCGAGTCCTCCTAGAAGCAATAGTTTTGTAAGTGTTTACTTATTTGCAAATTGCGAAGGATACTACAATGATAAATTTACCTTTAGGAAGTATATGTATTCGTGGTATTACAATGGAAATTGAGCTCGGAGTTTGAGGGTGTTTGAGTTCTAGAGAGTACCCGTGACACTTTCGGTCTAGGTACATGAGTACATCCAAGGTTAATTTTTGATTGGCCTAAAATGGACTCTGCAATCTTATGTTTATCAATCTGCAGTATTTTTTTTTTTTTCGTTGTGTTTTGGTTGTTGTTACAAAGTTTTATTGCGTAGTAAATGACTGGGATGTGGTAAGAACTGAGTTAAATCTGAAATAAGGAAATTGTACTTCAGTTCTGCTTCCTGAATTGGGATCTTGTGTATAGGGTTGGATTGTACACTCTTGAACAAATGTATACTTGTGATGTGTGTTTGGATGAAGGCTGTTTTTAAGAGTACACTTACAACACCATTAGTTTATAAGAGAATTAGGTTGAGATTTAGAAGATGTAACTATCTTAAGATCAAATGAGCGAGATTATGTAATTGAAGAGGGTAGCTTTGAAGATATGAAATCACTTGCCTGTCCTGTTACTTTTGTGTATAAAAATTGTTCATATAATGCTTTTGAAGCTTTTCTTCTTTTGCTGGTCGATACCATTTGGTATATTGGAATGTTCAAGAGAGCTAGTTAGGATAACACTAGAAATGTATTCCATCTTTTGCTTTAATGATAGATTTCAGTGTTGGAATATCAATTTGTGCCTTGTTATAATAATTATTATTTTTAGGCAAAATTTGTGAGTGATAATTAACAAGTAAATGGTTTTATGATATGTTTTTTTCCAGTTTGTCTCTGGAGCAGTTGAAATAAAACGAAAATCAAACATGAATGCCATGGAAGTTGAGACATCAAACTCAGCATCCGCTTCTCTTCCATCAAAGCCCAAATTTGGGGCTTTGAGGGCTCATGAAATGTCTGATGGTCACCTACAATTCAGAAAGGTGAGTGTTCCTCCTCATCGTTACACACCCTTGAAAAAAGTGTGGTTGGAAATCTACAACCCCATTTACGAGCAGATGAAAATTGACGTAAGGATGAATCTTAAAGATCGCAAGGTTGAGCTGAAGACAAGGGCTGACACCCCTGATGTAAGTAATCTGCAGAAGTGCGCTGATTTCGTACATGCCTTCATGCTTGGGTTTGATGTTACGGATGCAATTGCCCTTTTGAGAGTAGATGAACTTTATGTAGAATCATTCGAGATCAAGGATGTTAAAACACTTAAAGGTGACCACAAGTCTCGTGCTATTGGAAGGCTTTCTGGAAAAGGAGGTAAAACAAAGTTTGCCATTGAAAATTCTACAAGGACTCGCATTGTAATTGCAGACTCAAAGATTCACATTTTGGGGTCTTGTACAAACATTAAGGTAGCGAGGAGCTCACTCTGCAGCCTAATATTAGGGTCACCAGCTGGAAAGGTTTATTCGAAGCTTAGAGCAGTCACTGCACGACTGGCAGAGAGATTTTGAGATTTCATACATCAATTTTTGCAAGGATAGGCTGCATTTTTGTTTTGGAGCGTGAGCTTGTCTCCTGTCCAACCTTTGGAAGGGGAGGCGAACTACAGCATGTTGAGGATTGTATTATGATGATAATCTTACCGCTCAAAGCCTTGTTATGTTATGTTATTTAACTTGATTATAAGTATTATTGACTACAGTAGAGATGATTTTGTGGTGTTGGAATATTTATTTGTTAACTATTTTTAAATATGAAATCATTCTTGTTACCTAGGCTATGCATGATTTTGATTTGGTTATTTTTACTTGGTGTATTTGAGATTATAGATTCAGGTACTCGTTTCTTTGGCCGCTTAACTTCACTTTTAATTCTACTAGATAGATGCAAAGATTGCTCTGTTTCGTGTTGTGACTTATATATGTCCATGTGCACCAGAGTTGTCTAAGCTTGACACTAACTTAGCCCACTAGTAATGATACATGTTGCAATTTTCAGAAGGGCAGCCCAGCATAGTCTGAGCCATATCACGCAATTAAGTTTAGCACCTGAGCCATGAGCCATGCAATATTTCGGGTTGCCTCACCTTGTGCCATTGCTATATATACTTTGGACGATGGTAACAAATCTTACAATCTTATAATGATATAATACGGCAAGATATTACATTTATCAACAATTTTATTTAACAAATATTAAAATACATGTGAATGAGAAATTTTATAAAAGCATAGTATTTAAACCAAATCCAACGTTTTTTTAAGCATATAAATCATCATCGTCATTTACGGTTGCAGAAGTCTGATTGGCATCAAAGCGAAATTCAGACCCAAATCCTCGAGAGTGCTGCAAGGTTTGAGCAAATGACTGATACTTTTGTATGTCAGCATCACTAACACTCCTACGTGCATATTTCATCGACGCT